TTTCCAAATCTGATGGGGGGCGGGGGGGGGGGAGAAGACGAAATACACACGTGGTTAGTGCTGGGAGGCAGCAACTTCCCGAACAAGCGGTGGGTCAACGACAAGGCACAGACGGACGAGCTAAGCGCAAAGCAAGGCGCTGACGACACACGTGGTTTGAGAAGGCAGAACCCACGTAGGTGAGCCGATAACAAGGAATGTCCCTCCGGGAGCTCGGAGAGGCACTGGAGGAAAGAAACAGGAGGGAGGCCAGGCTTGGAAGGGGCAGGTCAGAAGTCTCCCGCAAACATGAGGAAGGAGTTACTGCAAGGGGTCCCTCACCTCCAGGGCTCGTCCTGAATATCCCCAACCAGGTATGCTTCTCAGAGCATTGTTTTAGATTGTTATTAGAAATGATAAAACACAGCTGATGTTAACGTGGCACGTGCTGGTTGTCCCCTGTCTTCCGGCCCGCCAGCTCAGCTCCATCCTTCCCTACCCTGCCCTGTGGGCCTCCCTCCCCTCCTGTGCGGCCCATCCTGGAGGGGGAGGTGCCCCGTGGGATGGGCTCCAGACCCTCCTCTCCGCAGAGCCATCCCTCCCTGGTAATCACAGCCAAGCAGTCTCCAGTCCCCTCCTACGTGGATCCTGGTAGTTTCTGCTTCCAGTCTGAGTTCCAGACACTGTGTCGCCAATGAACCTAGTGGCTTCACTGCCAACATTTAAAAATTGTGAGATCTTCCACAGGAATGTCGTGAGAAGAATGAAGACACGGCCATACGGAGCCGTCATTCCTATGGGCAGCAGGAGCCGAGCAACAGCTGTTCCCATCCCCCACTTACCCCCACCTGCCCTGACTGGCACTTGAGTTCGAGACCCCTCCCCTAAATCATGCCAGGCCTTCACAGCCCTTCCAAAGGAGTCTGGACTTCAGCGTCTTCTATATGCTGATACCTCCCAAGTGTACGCCCTAAGCCCAGACCTCCCCTCTGACTTGTGCTGAGGAGTATTCAAAAGCCCACTTGGTGTCCCTCTTGGATGTGGCAAAGCCAACACATCTGATGTAAAGTTTGTGATTTCAGAACCCCCACCTTCCCCCCAAATGATAAACAGAAAGGCTCATCAGAGACTGAACAAAATAAACCACATGCAGAAGGGCATTCCGATGAGGTCCCCAAAGGAGTCAAATTCACAGACAGAAAGAGGATGGCGGGTGCCAGGGGCTCAGGGAGGAGCGAATGGGGAGTGTCTAACCAGACCAAGTTTCAGCTTGAGAAGATGAACAGAGTTCTGGGCATGGATGGTGGTGATGGCTGCACAACAATATGAATGTATGTAGTATCACTGAACTGTACACCTAAAAACAGCTAAAATGGTGAATTTTATATTACGTGTATTCTACCACAATTTTTTAAAAAATAAAATTTAAAAATAAAAAAGATTTGGCAGTCATTCTTGACTCACGCCTTCTGCCCATCATCGAGACTGTTAGGTGCCACTGAATGTGCAAAACAGCTTGTGGAAAAAATAATCTTTCCACCAATACAGCCAATGATCTAGTCAGGCACCACGGACTTCCTGCTGAAATGCAACAAGGCCTGCCAGTCTCCACCCTCTGCCCTCTACAAGGCATTCGCCACTCAGCAGCAGGGGATCTTCTTAGACCAAACCCTCCACCATCTCCCCAAGGCACTGAGAATCAGAGCCAAGGCCTTCCCACATGGGCCCGTGGACAGACAGCCAGGCCTGCCTCTCCCAACCAGCTCCCGCCGCCCACGCCTGCCTCACTTTCCCTTCCATCAGGCACACTTGCCCTTTGGTTCCCTTTCCATCATTCCCCCACCCCCTCCTGTCCATGATGAGTGCTTCCTGCTTCAGGGCCTCTGCACCTGCTACCCCCAAGCCCTGCCCTTCCATAGGCGCTCATCCTCAGGCCTCAGTTAGCATCTATCATCCACAGGGAGGCCTCCCCATCCAGCCTACTATCCTCTTGCCTATTTCCTTGTGAGTGCTCATTGTGGCCTGTGGCAACTTGTCTGTTCCTTGATCTGTTACCACCCCTTTCCCTGGCCCCCAGTGGAAAGTGAGCTCCAGGAGGGCAAGGCCCTGGCCGGTGCCCGACTCCTACAGTGTCTGGCACACAGAGGGTACCAGGTAAACATTCACTGCAGACCTGCCAGCTACCCAGCAAGGTGCTGAGCAATCTACGCATTATTTCCTGCTGTCCCGATGACCACATAGGTATGGGTAACATTATATCCATTTTACAGACAAGTAAACTGAGGCTCTGAGAATGAAGTCACACACTCAAGGTCACATGGTGTATTAGAGGCAGAGCTGAGACTCCAGGGTCTGCCCCCAGAGCCAGAGGCCCCAGTGAGTCACTGTTTTGCTGCGTTATGCTTTCCCATTTCAGAGTAAAGGATTTGGGAAATACTTGAGAATGACCCTGGCTTAGTGACCCTAGGGCACAGCATGATGCCCAGGTGTTAGGGCAGATGGCGGCATGGGGCAGGAGGCAGTGGTGTGGGTAAGGGTAGCTTTTCAGTGGCAAGAGGAAAGGCAGGCTGATGGTGGGTCTGCTTTGGGGCCCATCGGGTCTGAGATGGGCTAGGGACATACACTGGCCCAAGGCTGCAGAGAGGGGAGTCTCGGTTGTGACCACAACTGGAAGTCTTTTGGTATAAATACTAATGTGACAGCTGAAGGCAGAATGCCAGCAAAATCCCACAATTAAGGGGCAGTGGAAAAGAGGCAGCCTCCCTTTCGTGGATTAAAACCCTTCAGGAGATGCTGCATGGATGGACCTAGAGAATATTAAACTCAGTGAAGTAAGTCAGACAGAGAAAGACAAATATTATATCACCTATATGTTGAATCTAAAAAATAGCCAGTGTTACGTCCCCAGCAATCAGACTGGCAGAGAGCCAAGCGTTTGGTGCCATGCGTGGCTGGCGACCACGGCGTGTGGACGTGGGCCTTCTTGCCCCCATCAAGGGAAACATTAACAGGACAGCGTCTGCAGAGGCCATTTTGGCAAAAAGCTACTCATGTCCAAAATGCTATTCATCCCGTTTGGTCTAAATGTGGATTTTTTTTTTTTGGACTTCAGAGTTCTTTTCCCATATTCTGTATTTCTACAATTGCTTCTTATCACAAAGTAATTCACCCTTGTTATTAAACATCAAAAAATAACTTATAAAATGGAAGTCTCCTGCAATCTCACCCACCTGAGTTTAACAGTTTGGTGTCTACTTTTAGACTATTTTTCCCTAGTGTGTACTTAAAAAAAGGATATACACAACACAGCTGTATGCACATAAACCTATGAACACATTTTTTTTTCCCCTAAAAGGGGGCTTCTGGCCAAGAGGGAATAACAGGGATAAGATTTCCTTCCAGCTTCCAGCCTAAAGTAATGGGGCTGAGGATGGGAGGGCAAACTACATAAAGCAAAGGTTTCCAAAACTGGACATCAGGCAACAAAGGGCAGTGATTCCTGAGAGACAGGATTCAAAAGAGGCAGGCCCTAGAGGGGAGGGCGTAGCTCATTGGTAGAGCGCACACCTAGCATGCACAAGGTCCTGGGTTCAATCCTGGGTACAAGTTTGCTGGCTGTGGCACAGGAGGGGAAACTGAGGTGAAGCCCAGCTGACCCCTGAGTCAAGGAGATGGGACTGACAGAGAGAGGCAGATGGAGTTCACAGGACAGAGCCCTTGCAGGAAAGCTGTGCAGAGAGAGGGCTCTGGAGATCTGCAAGGCCCTCCCTCCAGTACTCAGGTTACTGGTCGGAACGTGCACATACAGAAACTACCCAAGGCTGGGGAAAAACCACCTGGGAGGATCTGAAAACAGGCCCTGGAGCTGACGCAGGGCTGGGAACAGCGGCTTCTCACAGCAGCCAGCCACGAAACTCACTCCATCGAGCTCATGGGGCACTGGGCAGGACACTCGAAGGGTCGGTGGAGATTAAGTCATCCCATACCGAACACAAGTCGTAAAGGCGAAAGTGAGAGCAGGTAGAATGACGTGGTACTGTTGTCAAGACAGACAAAGAGATGAGCGGAACAGAACAGAGTCCAGAATTAGACCCACACATACATGGGCAACTGATTTTTGACAAGAAGTGCAGAGGCAATCTGGTGGAGAAAATTCAGTCTTTTCAACAAACGGTGGAGGAACGACTGGACAAAAACTGACCAAAAAAAGTGGACTTCGATTAACATTCTGCATCATTCCAAAAATTAACTCTAAAGGATTCACAGGACAAAACAAACCTAAAACTACAACCTATAGGAAAAGACATAGACGAAAAACCTGTGTGTCCTTGAGATAGGCAGAGACTTCTAAGATACAGCACAAAAAGCATGAGTCCTAAGAGAAGTAGCTGATCAACCGGACTTTGAATTAAAAACTTCTCTTGAAACAAATGGTGCTGGGGCACCTGCCTATCAACTTTCAAAAGAATGACCCTAGGTCCCTTTTCACATCATTCACAAAAATCAACTCAAAACAGACCGAAGACATACGTGAAGAGCTACAACGATAAAACTCTCAGAAGAAAACACAGGACTAAATCTCCACGGCCCAGGGCTGGGCACCTCCCGAGACATGACGCCAAAAGCACAAGCAGCAGCAACAGAATAAATACGCTGGACACATCAGAATGAAAAATGCGCTTCAAGTGATGCCATCAGGAAGGAGAGAAGCCTACCCGAAGAATGGGACAAAATACTCACAAAGCACCCACCTCCTAAAGGACTTACGTTAGGAATGGTAATAACAAAAGAACACATGAAGAACTTTCAGCACTCAATAAGGAAATGAACCGCCTGACTGAGCAAAACAGGCCGAAGACCTGAACAGGTATTCCACTGCAGAGAATACATACGTGCCAAACAAGCACAGGGGAAGATTCTCAGCATCCGACGGAAACTAAGATGTGGTGAGATGACACACCACCGGGAGGAGCTGAGATGAGACGGGCCGAGCACGCAGAGCGGCTGACACTCCCACTCGCCGCTGGTGTGAAACGTAAAACGGTACAACTGCTTTGGAAAAAAGGCTTGGCAGCCTCTTGGAACGTTAAATATACACCTACTCTGTGATCCAACCGTTCTAGTCACTGGTGTTTCCTCAAGCAAAAGGGAAGCATACGCCTACAAGAAAACGTGTACCTCCATGTTCACAGCAGCTTTACTCGCAATAGTCCAGAACTGGGAACAACTCAAAATATTCATCAGCAAGTGAGTGGAAGGGGGAGGGGAGGGCTCAGGGGTAGAGCACATGCCTAGCATGCAGGAGGTCCCGGGTTCAGTCCCCAGTGCGTCAATTAAAAACTAAATAAACAAATAAATATAACTACCTCCCCCTAAACAAAACAAATAAAAATCAAGCGAACGGATAAACAAATTGTCGTCTATCCGTAGAACAGTACTCAGCAATAAAAAGTGAACTGCTGATACACACAACATAGGTGAACCTCAAAATATTTATGTCAAGAGAAAGACGTCAGAGCGAAAAGAGTCTGTGCTGTATGATTCCATGTATTTAAAATTCTGGAATATGCAAATTAAACTACAGTGACATAAGGGGGGGAAGGAGGTACTGCGAAGGGCCATGAGAAACTTTGGTGGGTAATGGATGTGCTCATTGTCTGGACCATGGGGATGGGTTTCCAAGTGTATACAGATGCTGAAATGCATCAAACTGCTCACTTTCCAAATGCTCAGTTAACTGTAGGTTAACTGTATTTGTTAAAAGTTGTTAAAGAAATGGGATCATACTCTAGTTCTCAAAGTTAGTATTTCATCAAGGGACATCTTTCCGTATCAGTGCCTACAAAGAGTGCTCGTCTTGGAAAAGCTGCATGGTTTTCATCACACTGATGCACCTTGATACGTCACCTGGTCTTGTACAGGTGGGCATTCACGTTGTCTCTATTTTTCTTCCTATGGAAAACTTGGCACACTTACAGAAAGATTTCTTAAGATTAGATCCATAAAAGTGGAATTGTTCAAAATTCTGTTGATGATGCCAAAATGCCCTCCAAAAGAGTTGTCCCAACTTTTTCTCCTACAATGGGAGTCCCTTTCCCAGTACCCTCACAATACAGGCTATTACCATTCTGTTTCATTTCTGTGTACCTCGTGAACAAAAGCTGTATCTCTTTGACTCAGTTTGTATTTCTTTGACTATCAGTAAGGTTTAAAAACCTTCTATAAAGTGTAACTAACTCCTTGTATTTTCACATATATGAACTGCCAGCTCATAGGTTTGGTCTATCATTCAGTGTTTTTCTTATTTATTATTAGAAGCTCTTTATATAATCCTTTGACCATTATCCATGTAGTAAATACTATTCCCCAGTTCATCACTGGTCAACTTTATTTTTAGCTTCAAATAGAGTGACTTAAACTTTCTACATAGTCAAATCTGTCAATCTTTTTTCTTATTTCTCTGTAGTCCTCACATGAAAGGCCAATGGAGAGTAACTCAGCAAAGCTGCCCCTTACCCAGTGAGACCAGGTTCCGGAAGTTCTCCAGCATCACATCTCTGTACAGGTCCCTCTGAGCTGGCTCCAAATGCTGCCACTCCTCCTGCGTGAAGTCCACTGTCACATCCCTGAATGTCACTGATTCCTGTAAGAGAAAACCCACAACCACTCAGAGGTCTGGAGGAATGGCTGGAGAAGCCACGAGGATTTAGGGAAGGCACACTGGATGTATCTGAAGTGATTTCAACAAGGCGCAGCATTCTGAAGGGATCAGCCACTCATAGTTTTCTCAGTGCCTAAGTATATTGGGATGGTCCTCTGACAAAGAAGTAAAACAAATGGGAGGCTGTTTAGAGCAGAAAGTCACACGTTTGAGAGACAGAGAAGGAATCAAAGTCAGAATGATCATAACCCAGTGACTCAACATGTCCATCAGGAGCCTAGCAAAAGCAGACCCCGGGTGGGATGGAGCAGTTCACTGAACTTCCCTGAGCCCCTGCGGAGCTGCGGGGTGCCGGGTACAGACACAGAAGGTTCAAGAACCAGTTCCTCACAGGAAGAGCAGGTGAAAACCAGTCTGGTCAATACTGTCCTGAAGGTATGAACAAAATTCTCTGGGCACCTGGGCAGCTTTAGGGGGTGTCAGGGATGACTTCTGAAAGGTGACACTGAGTGTAGTCTAGGGGGGAGAATCAGTGGTCAGGTCCTTGGGGGAAGAACCTGGAGGAGGGAGGAGCCTGGATCAAGATCAGAGGCTTAAAAGGCAGATTAAAACATTGAGGAATGGTGAGAAGTTCATGTGTTGGAAGTGTAAGAGTCTTTCTGGATGATGCTGTAAGACTTGGGGATGAAATGACTGTAGCTTAGCAGGGTAGGGATGATGATGATGGTGTTGGTGGTGGTGACAGTCATAGTGATGATAGTGGTCATGGTGATGGTGGTGGTGGTGATGATAATGGTGGTGGTGATGATGATGGCGGTGGTGGTGGTGATAGCAGTGGTCGGGGTGATGATGATGATGGTGGTGATGATGATAGCGGTGGTAGTGACGGTGATGATAATGGTGGGGGGGTGATGATGATGTCATCAATTGTGAGTCACAATACCTATTACTTCATAGGCAATTGCTATATGCGAGGTACCATTCTAGGTGTTTGTCACAAGGCTGAACTATGCTCCCTCCTCTCCCCTTTGTATGTTGAAGTCCTACCCCCCAGCACCTCAGGATAGGATCTTATTTGGAAAAATAGTCACTGTAGATGTAATTAATTAAGATGAGGTCACATGGGAGCAGGTGGGCCCTAATCCAATACCACTGGTGTCCCTATAAAAAGGGGAAATTTGGGCACAGATACACGCACACAGGGATAATGATGTGAAGACTGGAGTCACACTGCCCTAAGCAAAGAACTACCGGAAGATGGGAGAGAGGCCTGAAACTGATCCTCCTCCAGAGCCTTCAGAAGAGCATGGCCCCACTGACACCTTGATTTTGGACTTCAGGACTCCAGAATGGTGGGAGAACAGATCTCTGCTGTGTAAGCCGCCTCACCTGTGGCACTCTGTTATGGCAGCCCCAGCAAGCCAACACATTCGTCTTGCTCATGGCTATTGCCCCACTGTTTAGTATGGTGCCTTGCACATAGTAGGTGCTCAATAAATGACTCTTGAATGAATAAGTAAAGTAATGAATAAGGATAGCGTGAGGAGTAAATGAGTTCATCCATGTTTGACGCTCAGAACAGTACCTAACATACAGTAGGTGCTCAATAACCATCAGCTACTTTAACTGCCACCCACACCCACAGGTCCCTGGCTCTCTCCAGTGCTTGGAGCTCCTTGACCAGTGGACCCTAGCCCGGCTCACCCTCCCTGAGAGGAGGCCCCACCTGCTGGCTAGCCCTGTCATGGTCCCAAGTGCCCACCCCAGGGGCTCTGGGCTCACGCTGGTCTCCTCTACCTCATGGGTCACTACCACCTGCTGAGGAAGCAGTACAGTCAAGACGCTGGGCTCAGGAGCCTGGCAACCTGCGATGAAATCCTGGCTCTGCCCCTCAGTGGCTGTGGTTTCCCTGGGCAACTGTCTTAACCTCTCTGAGCCTCGTTTGTTCAATGGGTTTCCTAATAACAATGTCCCCCTTGGTATTTGTCATGGGGGTTAAATGGGAGTAATGCATACATGGTTCCAGCACAGTGTCTGGTATGGCTGGAGTAAGCTCTCAAAGAATACCAACTACTGCTATTATCATTTGATTAATTTTGACATTTCATATCTATCTTAAATATATACATTATTAATAGTTATTACTATACCATTATTTCAGTTTTTGGCCCCATACATCCTTTGGCCAGTCCTGCTAACACTAATAATTCCTTTAAAAAGCACTTCATTGAGGTATGACTGACATATAAAAGCTGTACATGTTTAATACCACTGGGTAGGTTTGGAAAGTATACACCCATGAAACACTAAAATCAAGGCCATAAGCTTCTCCATCACCTACAAGTTTCCTGCCCCATTTTATGTTTTATTCCAACTTCTAATGTAGTAATCCCTTCGGAAAAGTCTTCTCTAAGCGTGCCCCTCCTCAGTGGACTCACTCAATAAATAAAATATTTACTGAGCAGAATCCATGCACTGTGCCTGGGTGGAGCAGGTAGAGAGGGGGCACTGAAAACAAAATGGACAGCCCCAGACATCTCAGAGTCGACATCATATGCACAGCAACGATGCCGGAGGGCAGACAGCAGGGGCACCCTCCTCTGGAGGGCGGGGGAGACTTCCCCAGAAATCTTTGAACCTCTCTGAGTTCTCTGTGTATGTGTGTGTCCCCAAGGCCACTCATTCTAGTGCTTTGTCTGTTCTGGTTTCCTGTCTAACAACACAAATGAATTTGCCACAAGAAAAACCTTACCAAAGTTCCAAAGAGCTGAAATCAGATAGGCTCTATTTTTTAAAAAATCAGGATATAACTATACTAGATGTGATTAAGAAAAAAAAAGCCCTTAAGTAAAAAATACATACTGAAATAAAAACAAATGACAAGTCCTCCTAAATAATGTAGGTAAAAGAAGAAACCAAGACGCTAATCCCAGACAAGTTAAAAATGAAGACATCATGGTGCAGCTGCTTCGGGAAAGAGTTCGATAAACTCAGACGGCTAAACAGAGTTCTACTAGGACCCAGCAATTCCATTCTTAATTATACACCCAAGAGAATTCAGAACACACGTTCAAACAAACACTTGTCCACTAATCTTCACTGCAGCATTCCTAATAACCAAAAGTCCAACCCAAGCACCCATCGACTGATGAATGGATAAAGAACATGTGGTCTAACCACACGATGGAATATTACTTAGCCACGAAAAGGAACGAAGCATTGACACACTCTAAAACGTGAATGATGCTCAGAAACATTATGCCGAGTGAAAGAAGCCAGACCCAAAAGACCATGTGTTGTATGATTCCATTTATATGAAATGTCCCAAATAGGCAAATCCAGAGACAAAAAGTAATTAGTGGTTGTCAGGGGTTGAGGAATAAGGGGGGAAAAGGGAGTGGTTGTGGAGGGGTACACATTTCCACTTGAGATGATGAAAGTGTTATAAAATTGACCATGGTGATGGTTACACAACTGTGAACATACCATAAGCCAAAGAATTGCACACTTTGTGGTATGTGGAGTGTATCTCAATACAGGTGTTAAATACGTGAAGGCATGACAAACTCACAGGTAAGTGAACTGACACATTTAGATATCAAGATAAATTCCAGGTGGATACAGAAGATTCAAAAGTTCACTGTTAATTTTGCTGTACACTAGAAAATGACACATTGTAACTACCTATACTTCAATTTTTAAAAAAAGCTCGTTCACTGTTAATATCCAAATGATAAACAGAAAAAAAGAAGAAAATATAGGTGATATGTGACCTGTGGATGGAGAAACCCTTTTACAGCTCAAAAGACAATGGAAGACACCAGAGGAGGAGAGACAGACTCAACTTTTAAAATATGAAATGTTTTGGGGCTTAAAAAATATAAAATAAGAAATGAAAAGCAAACCTTGGAAGTATATTTGCCACAAGTACCCTCGACCCATAAAACACTTCTTTAAAATCTTCAAGAATTACTAAGATTCCTGCAGACTGGTAAAGCACAAGACAGATCATTTAACCCCCTGCAGAAATGGCTAATAAACATTTTCTAAAAATCAAACCTCACTAATAATACAAGCAATGCTACTCCAAAAGACACCGTGTGACACCACTTGTCACCTGTCATGCTCAAGGTTTATACCATTTGTCAGTTACGTATGCCATTTATATCCAATTTGCAGAATAAACACCCACCAACTATGAATAACTAGAAACAAATACCTAACAGGGGAACCATTAGGTCAACCAGGTGCAGCCCCAGGATAAAATTTCTATGGAGTCAGTAAAACAGATGTTACTGAGGGGTTTTTAACAATGTGGAAAAATGCTCAGGATGAAATTCTTGATGAGAAGGCAGGATATAAAAACTGCTCAGCCAGGGTGATTCTTATTTTTGTAAAACAACACGCATCCAGGCAAAGACACACGACACTCCAGGGTGATTATCTTCTGGCGTGAGATCGAGGGTCACCCTGATCCTCTTCCCTATGTTCTGCTGGATTTTCTAAGCTATTTATAATGATCCTGCATTTCCTTACCTACCAGGAATCTTCTTTTACTTTTATGATAGATTATTTACAGCATCAAAAAATGATTTTTTAGGGGGAGGGTGTAACTCAGTGGCACAGCGTGTGCCTAGCATGCACAAGGTCCTGGTTCAATCCCCAGTGCCTCCGCTAAAAACATATAAATAAACCTAATTACCTATCCCCCTCCCTAAAAAAAAAGAAAAATGATTTTTTAAAAAACTCAAGCTCACCAACACCCGATGGACACTGAGATGCACTGATCACACAGCCAAAACATGCGGTATTTGTAGTTTTTAAAGGCAGGAGAAATCCTTAAAGTGGGATTTTAAAAAAAACCCTCAAGATTAAACTGGCAGAGCCAATACGTGGCCAGTTTTTTTCAAATCATCATCAGAGAAGGAAGACAATAAGTGAATACACAAGCAATCCGCACGGTTATCTCTGGGTAGAGGCACTACGGGTGAACTATACTGTCCTACCTACAGGTTACTGGGCTTTCCCCATTTTCTATAAAGAGCATTTACGCATTTTTTTATTATGAAATATTTCTGGTATAAAAGAAAGTTTAGAGAAAAACACAACAAACAGCCATATACGTACCACCCGTTAAGACGTCATAAAACGTTACGGTGACAGCCAGGGCCCCCGGGCCATGTGCCCTACCCGCAGGTGTCCTTCCTCCCCTGAGGTAACTGCCGTCTGGAATGTGCGGGCCTTGTCCCAGTGTCTTGTACTTTCACCACACACGTGGTCATTTATAAGGGACACAGTGCCGTCTCCCCACTTGGAAAGGTCACGCGTCAGCACCGTGCTGCCTGAGTCCCTCTGGAGGGGCCTTTTCACACCAGATGTAACACATTTAAGCCATCACTTTCCAGGTACCCTCCTGCGGCTCCTGAGGGTCTCCAGGGCAGGACCGGTCACTCCCCAGCTGCCCTGTCCTCCTAGGTTGACCAAAGCCAGTATCAGGGACAGGCACAGGCTACTGGGCCCGCGGTGGGCAGAGCGGACAGGGGCATCACCTCTGAGCACCGCCCTCCCTCCTCAGGGTGGACACAGCCCACAGGAGGCAGGACACGGGCCCTGGAAGGGGCTGGGAGTCAGAGGGTCATCCCTGGGCAGAAGCCCGACCCTCTGGGCTGAGCCTCTGGAAAGGAGAGAGAGGTGACATGACTCACCAGGGCCTCGTCAGTCAGCGGCTGGGCGGCCATCCCTCCACTGCCCACGGCAACCAGGGACG